CCATTGATTTCAAACTCCTGCTCAAACCTTTTTACAGCCACCTCTAACAAATATCAAAATAGATGAGTTTGAATTTTTATCTCCACTCTTTGTGGCTTCTTTGTTGTCCAGTTGTGATGACTCTTGGTAACCCCATTTGAGGTTTTCTTGGCTAAGATATTGGAGTGGCTTGCCATTTCCTTCTCCAGCCCATTTTTACAGATGAAGAACTGAGGCAAACAGGTTTAAGTGACTTGCCAAGGGTCACACAGCTAGTAAATGTCTGAGGCTAGATTTAAACTCAGGAAGATGAGTCTTCCTGACTCTAGACCCAGCACCCTATCTAATGTGCCAGCTAGCTGTCCCCTACTTGCCTCTACACACATTTTATTGAGGGTGCTAACATGGATAAATTATCAAAGGGGTGAGGGAAGTAGGCAGGAGAAAAAAGAAATTAATCTTTAAATTAAATGATTCCCTAGATAATTAGGTGGTTGCTGGGACATACAACTTTAACTTTTAAACTCAGTGACTATTGTGCTTACCCTTGACTGCAGCACTTTATGTATGTCTCTATCAGATGTTGGATCCCCTAAGAGGCAGCCAGGTTGTGCAGTGGATAGAGTGCAGGTATGAAATTCAGGAAGACCTGAATTCAAATGTTGCTTAAGAGTCTTACAGACTTTGTAATCTTGGGCAAGTCTCTGAACCCTGATCAGCCTTACTTTCCTCATCTGTAAAATGAGGTGGTTGGACTCAATGGCCTCTAAGATCCCTTCTAACTCTAAAGGTATGATTTATTTTCCAAAGTTTTAGGTCCCCTAAATGGGAATCCAATGTTTCACTGCACTTTCCCCCACCAACTCATGTCATACCTGCTGATCATTAGAGTTCTACCCTTTGCTTTTGGAACCAAGACTAAGGAATTTGTATTTTATCCTAGAGGCAATAGAAACCATTAAACATTTCTGAGCAGGGAAATAATGACATGATTAAGCCTATGCCTTATGAAGATTATCTTGGGAGATGAGTGAATGAGTAAATGACTGAATGAATGCAAAAGCTTTTATTAAGTGCTTACTATGTGTCAGGCACTGTGGTAAATACTAAGGATATAGATACAAAATAATTTTGTAAGTATAAAAAGCAAGATTACCTCTGACCTCAAGGAACCTATATTCTAATAAGGAAGACAATACATATAGAAGACTGGTGACCAAGGAGGAGTGTTTTGGACTATGAAGTCAGAGGGATGGTGACTGGAGCCTTAGGGCAATTGATTGATATATCCTTTCCAAGAATGGCAAAATTAACTTGATTACTATTCCCAGAGCTAGAAGCAGAAAAGGGTAAGGGGAGTGATATGTGTGTGAGAGCAGCAGGAAGTAAGGTGGGTTGGGTCAGATTAGTTATGGTAAACTTCACTATTCAAGGTTGAAGGAAGGAGTAGAAGCAGGGATATTAATTAGGTTGGCATCAAAATAGTCCTGGCAAAATGTGATGAGGGCTGGAATTCAAGTAGTGGTTGGGTGAATGGAAGGGAGAAGGAAATGAATAGGAGGAAATGCAATGGGGATAGACTCAATAATACTTAAACACTGATTGGGTTTTGGGATGAAGGAAAGTTAAAAGTCAAAGATGACTCTAAGCCTACAAATCTGGTGACTGTAAAGCTAGTATTATCCTTAACAGAAATGTTGCACTTTGGAGAAGTAGTGGTTTGGGGAGATAATATGATAAATTCTCTTTGTACAAAGCTCATGCTCTTAAGGACTTAGAGCTAGAAGCGGTGTTAGAGGCCATTAAGACTAGTGCCTCATTTTACATCTGAGGAAACTAAGAATCAAGGAGATTAAGTGAGTTACCCATAGCTGCACAGGTAATAAGTATCAAAAATGGGTTTTGACCCAAGGTCCTCTGATGCCAGAGCCAATGTTCTTTCCACCATGTCATGCTGCTTCCCCTCTGAAAACACATGTTGAATTTACCAATAGAACATCCAGGTAGAAATATGTAGCAGGACTAGAATCCAATAATGAGACTATAGCTAGAGATATGTGTGATGTGTGTATGTGTGGGTTTGTATGTGTGTAATTATCTGTGTAGAGATTCAGTTCAATGCAACAAGCACTTATTAAGCATCTACTAATATGTGTTATATAAGGTGGTAGGTGCTAGAGATTCAGAACCCAAATGAAAGTCAGTTAGTCATGATAAATCTATAGGAGTTAATAAGATTCCTCCGGAGGCACAGACTGAGGAGAGAAGAGAGACCAGGATGGTCCCTTGAAAGATAGCCTTGCTTATGGAGCAAGAAATCAATGATGAACCAGCAAAGATATAAAAGGAGTGAGTGATGCAGTAGCTAGGAGGAGAAATAAGAAAGATGTTATAGATGCTGAAGAGGGAGGGAGAGAATATGGGCTGAGGGGCTTGTCAAAAGCTGCAGAAGAGTAAGGGAAAATGAGACTTGAGAAAAGACCATAGAATTGAGCAGCTAAGAGATCATTAGTTTACTTTGAAGAGCACAGTTTCAGTAGAGTAATGAGGAAAAAAATCCTGATTGTGAGGGTTTGAGAAATGAGTGTCTGGTGAAGAGGTGAAAGCAAAGAAAGACAACTCTTTCTGGGAGTGTGGTAGCAAAATAAAGGTGAGATATAAGAAGAAAGCTTGAAGGAAATGCAGGTTGAAGTGAAAGGGTTTTTAAAAAATGGAGGAGATATGTACATGTTTATAGATAGCAAAGAAGGAGCCAGTGTAAAGGAAAGGATTGACTCTGAAAGAGGAAAATAATGATCAGTGTAGAGGGAGATAATGGTTACTAGGTTAAGTTCCTGTCAGAGATGAGAAGGGGTGAGATCAAGGGCACAATTGAAAGGGGTTGGTCTTGATGAGGAGAAATGATACCTCTTCTTTAGAGACCAGAGTAAAGAAAGAAAAAAAATTTGGAGGTAAATAGAGGAGAATTTTGAGGTGTGGGGTAAGGAAGAGTTCATAGCAGATGACTTCAATTTTCTCAATAAATCAATCAAGCACTTTATTAAGTCTCCACCATGTGCTAGATGCTGGGATAAAAATGCAAAAAACAAAAAACACCACCACCAAAACACTCTCTGCCCTCAAGGAGCTTTCATTCTATGTTGGAATTAATAACATGAACACAAATAAAGAAATGCAAAATACATGTAAAATTAAGGCAAAGTAATTTTGGTGGGGAGAGGGTATTAGCAACTGGAGATCAGGATAAACTTTGTGAAGGTTTAGTTTAGTTTGAGTTTAGTTAGCCTTTAGGAAGAGAAAGATTCCAAAAGAATCAAGAGAAAGGTGTTTCAAGAACTCAGGAAGGAGAAAGTATTGATAAGTAAGTGTCAAATTCTTTAGCCAGGCTAAAGGTTGAGGACTAGGAAGAAGCTGTTTGAATAGGCAATTAAGAGAATTTTGTCAACCTTAGAGCAGTTTCAGTTAAGCGATAAAGTTAGAAGCCAGATTGCAAGGGCTTTAAATGACAAAGAGAGGATATGCATGGTCTGAAAAATGAGAAGAGTCGAAAAGGAGGAGTTTGGCTATAAAATGGAGGAGAAACCTAGGATGAAAGCTTATGTCAAGGTCACCTAAGAAATAGTTGGAATAAGGGGTTCTAGGAGAGAGGATAGTTGCAATAACTATTAGGAAAGAATGACAGTCAATCATGAAGACCTAGCTGTTAGGTAGCATGAATTTAATAAAATAGATTCCAATTTTAGGCAGAATAGACTTAGCCTAGGTCTACCTTATAATCTAAATAGATAGAAGACATCTTATCTTGACCAAGATATTTTGTTCCCTACCTTATGGAAAACCCCTCTTCTACTTACCAACATATAGGATCATAGATTAAGACCTGGAAGGCACCTTAGACGATATCAGTTTATAGGTAATCTTCATTTTATAGGTAAGGAAAGCAAGGCCTAGAGAAAGGAGCCGACTTGCCCAAGGTCATCTTTCTGTCATCAGTGAAAAAAGGAGTTGATTAAGCAAATTAGTAATGTAAATAAGATTTCATGTGGTCACATAACCTACTGAAGAAAGCAAAGTATTTTAAGCATTTCATTAAAAATTCTAGCATTAGTTGCATAGGACAATCTATTATGTAGAAGTGCTTATCTACTCAGGAACACAGATTATACAGGACCGTTGGCAATATTTTGTTGGGTTTAGTTTTAAGATTTGACAGGGGAGTTAGTTCAGATATGTGACTTCAGTGATGTAGGGAATGCCTGTTTTGGATTTCCTTACATCTACCAATGAACATAAATAACTGTTTTACAACTTACAGTGTTAGTTACCTGAGAGTTGAGTGATTTGTCCAGGGTGACCCAGCCAAAGTGGCAGAGGTAGGATTTGAACCCAGGTCTTCTTCATGACTCTAATGACAGCTCTGTCTCTGCTATGCCATGCTGGGTTTGGGATGGATGATAGTAATACAATTGGAAGTATTAAAATTATAATTCTTTGAAAATATTCTAAATTACTATTTTTCATTTACTCAAACTATATTCTCCTCTTTTATTCTGAATTAGTAAATTTTAAAAGTAATTTATTAAATAACACCTTTTTAAAAATACTTGTTTGAGAAAGAGGCTTAATTAAATTCTGTAGGATTATTTAGTGAGAGTTGATTTGGAACCTGAGAGAATGAATGGTGGCATTTAAAAAGTTTGAGAATCACTGAGCTGGATATGCTAAGTGATCTATCTTGATGACAATATCTAATTTGAAATTTCAAAAATGTGACTTAGAATCAAATTGTGACATTGTATTTCTAGCTTCTCAGTGCAGTGACCTGTTATTCTTTCTCTGGCATATAATTAAATGGCAACAACAAAATCTCAGTCTATGAGCAGTGGAACAGTCACTGTACTTTGAAATTAGTCGCAGAAAGAGCAGTGCTCATCAATTGTCATCCCTATATGAGATTTACCGGATGTACATGATTTATCTGAATGTTTGATAACAACCCTGTGTAATTTTATCCTCAACAGATTGATGAACTCCCAGAGGGAGCTGTGAAGCCTCCAGCAAATAAGTACCCAATCTTCTTTTTTGGCACCCATGAAACGTAAGTCAACAAAAATGCCATGTTCTTTAAAAATGAGTGTCTTATCAGATTACAACTTTTGGTTTTAATCTGGTAAAATATTGTTGATGAAGGAGCTACAGCTTATCATGCTATCAAAACCAGTTTGATCAAAACAGAAAACAATGCCTTTTCATTAGAGTAGACATATGAAACAAACATCTCTATCTTAAGACGTGAACGTCTTTGGTATTGAATGACATTACTTTTTCAGCTAGATACATGGGGACCCTCTGCCAGTGTGCATACACATCCTGTATGTAGATTCCAGATCTCTCCCTTGTCTTTTCTTCAAACCCCAAAGACTGGGGTAGGCCTGCCTACTTCTCTGGCATAAAAACTATCCCATTCTCATAGAGGAGTTTCTCTTCTTCCTGGCCCATTGCTGAACAAGACACAATGTCTTAGCATGTCCTCGTCCAGCTCTAGAAGAAGGACATAGTCCTTTATAAATTTTTCTAAAGGTGTTGTTGTTGTTGTTGTTGTTGTTGTTGTTGTTGTTGTTGTTGTTGTTTAACTGCTTATAACTATAGGAAAGCCAGGGAGTGAAAATAATAAATGGAGGCAAGGTGAATTATGAAGTTTAGCTTCATAATTAGTATTCTTGATTCTACCACTCTGGTACATTCTTTGATCTTGTCTTGAGAGAAGGAAGCCTTGCCCAGACCTTGTATACCTGAGGCTAGTGCTCTGTGATCCTTCTGGAAGGAAACCTGTATCCTAGGTACCATCTTTGCCTGGTAGACCCTCAAGGATAAGACCGTTTTGAACACAGCTGCTAATGGTGGGCTTTTGGGTATACAAAGGTTACTACTTAAGTTTCTTTTACATCTCATTAGAAATTTCAAACTGCCTATCTATCACAGCTTCCTCTTTCACACACTAGCAAAATTATCCTAGAGCATTTTGCCTAAAATGCTTACCTCACAAGATTGTTGTGGTAATCAAATGAAATACTGTACAGGAAGCATTTTGTAAACTTTAAAATGCTCGATAAATGTCAGCTGTTGGTATTTTTATTCCTCACCTCTCCCTTCCCTTAACACAATAGAATCATAGAATTTTAGAGCTGGAAGAGGTCTTTGAAATCATCTAGTTCAGCCTTTTAAGAGGGCATTAGATAGGAAATGATGCTCTAACAAAGTGTGTCACTTTCCTTGCTAAATGAAATATGAACCTGCTCCACTATCCAGAACAGGAAGTAGAGTTTTTGCCTCCATTAAAAATGAATTAAGTATTTCAGGAATCCCTCTGCATCCAAATTTAGTAGCAATCAGAATGCTTTTTATAAGAAATCCTAGCCACATTTGCCAGAAATTATCACACTTTTTTTTTAAAGCACATACAACTTTCAGCCCTCCCCAGCAGCCTCTGCTTACACAGCTCATCATTGTTTGAATTTTGCTTCTTAGACTCACAGATGACTTGAATTTTTTCCTTAAATATGATTGCCCGTTCCTTGCAGGCCATACACCAAATTGGACTCTTTGCTGGTTTTGCTTCCCAAATGTGCACTGCTAGACCACCTTCCTTTTCAGCACATCCTTGAAACGTTTCTTCTGCCCACATTTATGGTTGCCTCACTTCAGCTCAATGTAAGAAAGCTCTTTGGGCAAATCCATTCCCTATATAGGTCAAATCCCATGGAGCTGGATTGTGATGACTGGGCTGTATTAGTGCTGCTGGACTGGCTAGGATACAAAATCTTGTTAATCTTGTGTCCCTAGATAAGGTTCAGTAGAGTTGGAGGGTAAAGATGATAAAAGAACTCTTTGAGAATCTGAATATGAAGCCTTTGATAAGTCCATTTCTCAGAACCACATAGCCCCTCCAGATACTGCCACTGCTTTGTAAGCTTCATTTTGGTTAGGAGCTTTATGCCGCACTGGTGATTCTCATCTTCTTAAGGAGATGCTCACTTTCTACAAATCCTTTGCTGATAAGCACTTGATTAGACATAGTGATATCTAGGAATTCAGAGATAGCTTATAACTCTGTATTGTAGGTAATATATGTTGGGGAAATGACCATAGGTTCACATGCATGTATGTGGACGTTTAGAGAGATACAACAAACAAACAAATACAGGTAAACCCTTGGATTGGAGGTAAGACATGGAGCAAGTCACCCTCTATTTCCTTCTCCTTACCATTTTTGTATAGTATTTACTATGTACCAGGTACTATGCTAAGTGCTTTACAATTATTTTCCCAAATGATCCTCACAACAACCTTGAAAGGTAGGTGCTTTTATTATCCCTATTTTATATATGAGGAAACTCAGGTCTTCCTGACTACGAGCCCAGCCCACTGAGCTTTCTAGTTGCCCCAAATGAAATCTAGTTAAAATGAGCATGGTAGGCAATTTAAAAAGATTTTTAAAGGAAGAGATGTAATAAAGGTATAGCGGTCAGCCTAAGGGTATGTACAGAAGAAAGGAAAATGATATTATTACTGAATGGCCAGCTCTCATCCCTCACCCCCTTTTTTACATGCTGATTGGGTACCTCAAAACATTCTATCCATTTGTCCAGGCCACCTTCTTCTCTCCTTACCACTAGCACCCAGTAGTTTCTGTGGCCTGTTATATTTTATCTCTATCATAATATAGGACTCCCAAGGGCATAGAGCCTGGGGGAAGTTTCCCTAGATTTGTCATATAAACGGGATAGCTCCTTGCACAAAAATCCTAATCAAAAGATAAATATTGCAGATAAGTGAGAGTGTGTGGACTAGTAGAAATGAGAGACTGAATGAGTAGATAGGTGAGTGGTAATATGTAAAGACTAAGTGAGAGAGAGTGGGTTGATAATGGGATAAAAGTGTATTTTCTGGCTCTCACTTACCCTCATATAACTGCTTCCAGTTACTCTTTAGCATTAACTCTCTGATCTGTCCAGGAGAGAATAAGCAGATGTCCTAGGTGCTGAAGCAGGGATTATAACAGATCAGGCAAAGGTGAGCTCAGATGGTCCAGAGTTAGCAGGGTTCAAGACAATAAGCAATTAGGTGGAACTCAAGGCAGCCCCAAGCAATAAAGTGCAAAGAAGTAGCAATAGATTAGGCAAAAGATAGAAACTGATAGTCTTGATTTAGCACAGTCGAATTGTTAAAACATGTGCAGCCATCCCCAGTTCCTTTGCCCATCCTAAGATATCACAATCTTAAGGCACTTTCACCAAACTGCTCTCCCTGCTAAGAAGGCTCTCCCCAGCTTATCAGTGTAGCTTTATGTGAGGCTTTTCTGACACCATCCCTAAAGCAAGACACTTTAGGTTTAAATGGACATCAACTCATTAATTAAATCCCTGTGTGATCCCTGTGCAAGGGAATCCTCTACACAGGTCCATGAGCTTTGTGTTAGGTGCTGTAAGGGATTTAAAAAAAAAAGTCAATAGTCTTTACCCTCAAGGAATTAATATTCCAGGAGAGATAAGACATAGGCTTAGAGACTTACAGCTGGAAAAGATCTTTGAGTCCAATATCCTTTTTTTATAAATGAAATGGAAGCCAAAGAAGGCAAATGAGTTGTCCAGGGTTAAATAGCTAGCAAGTGTCCAAGGCAGAATTTGAATCCAGATAGTTCTAACTCTATTATCCTATCTATTTCCTAATTCAGGGGGAGAGGATCCATGTCTTCAGAGAATTTGCTTTATCATATCTAGGTGGTACAGTTCATAGAATCACAGAATCTCTGAATTGGAAGGGACCTCAGTGATCACTAAGTCCAATATGTATCTGAGCGACACTCTACCCAACATAGCCAGCAAGTTGTCACTTAGTCTTTCCTCAAGACCTCAAGAAGGCGAGGGAACCCATCATCTCCCAAAACATTCCATTCTATTTTGAGATAGCTCTAATCATTAGAGTATTTTTCCTTTCAACAAGCCTAGATTTCCCTCTCTGAAACTTACTCTTATTGCTCCTATTGTGTTCTTAGGCCAGAGAGTATGGTGTTGTGGAAGAAACACTTGGTCTGGAATTAAGAGGACCTAAGTTTAAATCCTGCCTCTGATACTACCTGTGTGATGAGCAAATTAATTAGCCTCCCTGGGTCTTAGTTTCTTCCTCTATAGAATAAGGCGGTAGGACTAGAAGGCTTCCGAATGTCCTTCTAAATCTATGGTCTTATGAAGTCAAATCCCTTTTGACCACACCAGCCCTCTAGAGATTGGAAGATAGCTATCGTGTCTCTCTTGAGTCATCTCTTCTCTAGACTAGACACCCCCAGTTATTTTACCCATTCTAATATGCCGCATTTAAAGGCCCCATCATCTTACTACTCTCCAATTTATCAATGTTCTTCAAAAACATGGTACCCAGAACCAAACATAATACTTCAAATGTAGTTTGAATGCAACAGAGTACAATGACGCTTACCTCCCTAGTCCAGGACACTCTGCCTCTCAATTCAATCTATGATTGCATAGCTTTTGGCTGGCATATCACACTGTTTGACTCATTCTGAACTTGCAAAATACCCACTCAAATACCTTAAATTCTTCATCTGAAATGCCATTTTGGGGGAATTTTTTCCCTTAGCAATGTTGGCCTTGGTTCTGATGTGCTTTTGATTAGACTGTGAGCTCCTTGAGAACAGGGACTCTTTTTACCTCTCTTTGTATACTCAACACTTAGCACAGTGCCTGGCACAAAGTTGGTGCTTAATAAATGTTTATTGACTGATTTAAAAAGCCTTTTTTTTTCTATGACACATTATACGTATTCCTATCTCCTTGGTGTTTCATGTGCCATTTGCTGGGAAGGGAAGAGAGAACTAGTGTAACCAAGAAGGACAGTTAAGCAAAACAAAAGTGACACCTTGACCATATCGAACAACATATGCCTCCTTAGGTATAGTCAACTAACTATAGGTGAAGGTCTGCTCTTTACAAAGAAGAGTAAGGTTGGTTTCATCAGTTGTCTGATCTTTGCACTGATGGTTATTTTCCTTTCCATTATTGTATTCATTGATATTCTCATGTTTCTTCTTACTTTGCTGTGTATCACTTTATTTAAATATCAATGAATAAGCATGTATTAAATGCCTACTATGAGCTAGGCACTATGGATACAAATACAAAGAATGAAACAATCTCAAATATATACATATACTTGTGTATATATACATGCATGCAGAATAGATAAAAAGTGAATAAATGCAAATAAATGTAAAGTAAATACAATAGATTTATGCTCACAAATTTCTCTGAATTCTTCATAATTGTCATTCCTTATGGCACAAAAATGTTCTATTATTCATATACCACAGGCATCCACTTTGTTTCTAATTTCTTGCTGCCACAAAAAGTTTTGCTCTAAAAATTTGGGGAACTTCCCCTTTGTCTTGAGATTAATTGCCCAGTAGTGGTATTCCTGGGCCAAAGGAAATTCTATATATTTTTCAAGGCCCAGTTTAAGTTCCATTTCCTTAATGAAGTGTCTGTTAACTACTCCAGGACACATTTATCTGTCCCTACCCTCAAGTTTCTAATGGTTATAAGCCAAACCACCCAATTAAGCCTTTAAATACAATTAAGTTTTTGCATTTTGCTGCAATTGTTATATATGTGTTTGTCTTGTCTTCCCAACTAGATTATAAACTCCTTTAAGCACAAGAATGTATGATGTCTTTTATTTCTTCTGCAACTCTAATCGCACCTATCAAAGCTCATTACAAGGGGCATTCATTAAATTCTTTTTGCTATAGCTGCTAAAATAAAGGCTAACTCAGTTCTTAGATTATATTGGAAATATCATGTCTAGATTACAGAAACTAATATTCTCATTGTGTACTTTTAACATGCTATATGGAATATCGTGTTTAGCAATGGGTAATACATTGTTAGAGGAACCTTGACAAATTAGAGATTATAGATCAGTATAGTGATTGATCTACAGACTGTTGTATTGAAGAAAAGTGGAAGGAACTGAAAACATTTAGCCTGGAGGAAAGAAAACTTAGGGGAAATGTGATAACAATCTTTAAATATTTAAAGAGAAAAACATATAAAGAGAATGAAAATATATTTTATATTGCTCCAGAATATAAATGAACCAGTGATAGAAGTAGGTTTTTGTTTAGTGTAAGAAAGAACTTTCTATCAACCAGTTTCAAGTCAACAAGGATTTTTGAAGTACTTACTCTGTACCAGGCACTGTGCTAAGCACTGGGAAGATAAATACAAGCAAAATAAAAACAGGCCCTGTCCTTTAGGAGGTTACATTTTTTTTAACCAAGAAATCAGTAAGCATTTATTAAATACATGTTTTTTACAAGCACTAGAGATACAAGGACAAAAGTGAAACAGTTCCTGCCCTCAAAGAGCTTTCAGTTTCTCTGAGGGAGATAGATAGCTTGTACATATATAGCCTTCATAAGATGGTGACGCTTGAATTGAGCCTTAAAAGAAGCTAGGAATTCTAAAAGGTAGAAATGAACAGGGAATGAAGACTTATGTGGGAGATAGGAGTTACTTGAGGAACACAACCATTTAAGCTGTGTATTGGCTGAAAGAGGCTAATTGTAAACTAAGGCTAGAAAAGTTACCACAGGTTCCTGGTTATGAAGGTTTCCTAATGCCAAACAGAGGTAACTGGGAGCCACTGAAATTATCATTGAGGAGGGGAGTGACATGATTGGATCTGCAAATTAGGAAAATCACTTGTTAGTGATGTTTGGCTCTTCATGGATGATGGATTGGAATCGGGAGTCAGGCAGACCATCTGAGGATGACACTTCCTTTGTGAACTTGGGTGACTAAAAAGATGGTAATGCCCTCAGCAGTGTTCAGGAAGTTTGAAATAGGGGTGAATTTTGGAAGAAAGATAATTCTGTTTTAGACTTAATTGAGTTTGAGATGCTTATGGAACATCCTGTTTCAAATAGTCAATAGCCAATTGATGATGCTTGACTAGAGCTCAGGAGGGAGACCAGGGCTGGACATTTTGTCATCAGCATGGGGATAATTAAACCTACGTAAGCTAATGAAATCATGAGAGTATATAGAGAGAAAAGGTTCAGGACAAAGCCTTGAGGTACACCCATAGTTGGGGAGGACGATATGGATGATGATACAACAAAGGAGACCAAGGAATGGTCAGACAGATAAGAAGAGAAATGAGAGAGCACCATCACAAAAACCCAGAGAAGAGAGAATATTTAGCTGGAGGTGGTCAACAGTGTCCAATGCTGGGGGCAGCTAGGGGACGTAGTGGATAGAGCATCATCCCTGAAGTCAGGAGGACCTGAGTTCAAATCTGGCCTCAGACTAAACACTTGACACTTACTAGCTGTGTGACTCTAGGCAAGTCACTTAACCGCAATAGCCTAAAACAAACAAAAATTAAAAAATAATGTCCAATGCTGCAGAGAGGTCAAGAAGGATGATGACTGAGAAATAGTTACCAGATTTGTCAATTAAGAGATCACTGGAAATCGGTAATTTAAGATCAGATCCTTCTAGCTTGGTTGTAATATGGCCTTGGCTTAACTTGTGTAAGTCTCAGTTTTCTCATAGTCTTTTGAAAATCCTATAATCAGCATCTCTTCCTTTTGGTTGGGAGGAGGGGCAGAGAGGGAGTTGGAGACCTCGATTTGACCACCACGTGGTGTTTCAAGCCCCATGTCCTTCCCTCTGCTGTAGAGTAGGACCGGGGGTTTGGGGGTTGGGGGGTGGGGATGGGAAGATGCGGCCTTGCCCTGCGGATTCAAGGCCTTTGTGCCCCACCCTCTTCCCGCCCCAGGGCCATGCCTCTGCCTCACCTGCCCTCTGGCCCTTGTGTCCAGCAGCCTACTGCCTCCTCTCACAGGGGGCTCAGCCTGGAGGCAAAGGGGTTTTGAGATTTTGCAGGTAATAGAAAACAAGTCCTTGGAAGGAGGAGTGCTCCCCAGGGCCGAGGTGGCTTTTTATCTAGAATTCACAAAGCTGGACTCTCTGAGTCAGGCTGAGGGGCCTCGAGTCCCTAGGCCACCGCTGAGAGCGGGGCTCCCCGGAACAGAAGAGATTACATTTTAACGGGGAATATAAAAAACACATAAAAGGAAGTAGAAAGGGAGTAGGGAGAAAACACATAAAAACAAGCCACCAGGAAGATAACCTGGTGCTGGAGAAGATTAGAACTGTTCAGCCTGGTAGGAAGTGAAGAGATGGCCCATCTGGGTGCCCCTTTTAAATAGAGGCTCTGGCAAGAGCCTGTCCAATCAGAGGGAAGGACCCTAGGAACAGAGAGTGCTTCTGAGGTGTGATTTCCATGGTTGCTATAAAAATAATTTTTTCATTGAATGGGAAGTTGGACAAAGTGAACCTTTCTGGGCCCCAGTTTCTTTATCTGTAAAATGTGTTAGCTTTACATAAAGCAAAATATTTCTAAGGTTGCTTCTAACCCTAAATCATCTGATCCTGTGGTCTTTAAATTCTTTTACAACTTAGGGACTCCATGGTTAATTAACAGAAAGTGAGTTGTTAGTGAGGAGACCATGTGATGTTAGCTAATGATTGATTTTAATATGCATAATAGAGTTTATTACTGTTTATTCCTGTAGCATTTTGATCTTTTAAGATCAATGTTTTATTCAGTTTCTAGAAATTTTACTAGGGGATAATTAGTTAATGTGTAGTTGAGTTTTACTGTTATATTACATTTTGTATCTAATGTTGCTATTACTGTATTACTCTCTATTTTATAAAATTTGGTAGTATAATAAGAATCAATGGGCCTTAAAATGTTCATTAAAATAAGTCTTGTGGATAGGACCTTTGATTTCACTGATATAGGGAACTTCTAGATGAGGAAATTCTACCAATGCAAGTCAGTCTATACCTATATTTCATAGCGTATTGAATTGCCTAGAATACTGAAGGGTTAAATAACTTATCCAGCACTACAGAGCCTGAAAATGTCTGAAGCTAAGTTGAACTCATTTAGGTCTTCCTAGCACCAAGGCCAGCACTCCATCTATTATGCTATGCTACAGTAAGTGTTAAGTAGATGAAAAATAAAAAATTATCCTGAGACTAGACTCAGCCATCCATTCTTTCAACATCTATTTATTAAACAGCCTTTGTATGCAAAATACTGTGCTAGCTACTGCGGGGTGAGGATGGTGTTAAGAAGTGATAAGGACTATTTTCTTCAGTGCTTACCTTTTTGATGAACTACGTTAGGGTATTTGTTTCTTAAAATATACATGTTGCTTACCTGATAAGTATTTTTTAAATTAGTGCTCATTGAATTAAGTGAAAAATGCCTGATTGTGTTGCTGTTGATGTTTAGATGTATTACATTTGAAAAGACAGCTATATTTCACATGTCTTTTCTGCAGAGCATTTCTGGGGCCCAAAGACCTTTTCCCTTATAAAGAATATAAAGATAAGTTTGGAAAGTCTAACAAAAGAAAAGGATTTAATGAAGGCTTATGGGAAATAGAAAATAATCCCAGAGTCAAGTTTACTGGATACCAGGTAAAGAATTTATATTATTTTCCTTCATATCTCATCTCTTAGTTTTAGCTTTTATGCTGTAATGATTTTGTGCAGACATATATTCTTTCTGCTAATTGGTTGATTACCTACTAGGAACACAAACTCCAGAAGACCAGCTAAATGTTTTCAGTAAATAGTGCTCCTAATGCTGTGACTGACTATGACTTTAATGTGCAGGTTTCCATCATCAAAACTTGATTGGTCCCTTCAGAGTTAAAGCTTCTTCATCTGATCATTGATGTTTAAGTGGCCACTGGAAGAAATTCTTTCTGCCAGACCTTTCTCTCCAGAGCCTTAAGAATAAGCCAAGCTGTTTCTAAGTAAAATGCCTAAAGTATAGCCATTTCTTATCACCATTTCCATGTGAGTATGTGTGTCTGTGGTACTTTGCACAATGTAATTAGCTGATCTTTTATTATTTTTCAGGCAATTCAGCAACAGAGCTCTTCTGAAACTGAGGGTGAAGGAGGCAATACTGCAGATGCCAGCAGTGAGGAGGAAGGTGATAGAGTAGAAGAAGATGGAAAAGGCAAAAGAAAGAATGAAAAAGCTGGCTCAAAACGGAAAAAATCGTACACTTCAAAGGTTACAGAGGAGCTTTTCCCATTGTAACTAATGTCACATGCATGATAAAAGGGCATACTCCCTTCTGGTCTACTTAGTCACCAGTAGGTGTTTACTGGGTGCCTACTCTATGTATAGCCCTGGGTTATACATATATTCTCTTTGCGGAATTCAAAAGATGCATAAAACATGGCCCTGCCAACCAGGAGTTGAAACTTTAGCTATAGAACAAGAGACTGTGTTTGTCATGCTACAGGAGTGTAAACTAATGAAATCCAACTTACCAGATGAGATAAGCTCAAATGACATTTTAGAAGCTGCAAGTAAGACAGTGCTTCAAAGTAGAGAGGTAGTGTCTAAATTGGTGGGCAAAGACAGGAGTGTTGTTATCTTATTGGGTTTATTATAATTGATTTGTCACACAGGTATAATTGAATACTTAATTTGTTCCGTTTAAATTCTGTTTGGTGCTTATGTAATAATAGGTTAGCTATATTTTAAGTATCTCTCACAAGTAAGTACTAAATGTTTTTCATCCCTCCATAGGCTCAGATCCTCAGCTATGAACTTCATTTCTAAACCCACGTATATTTATTTTGAATAGCTTATTATGGCTTAATTAACTCCTATATACTATTGGTGATACCTTAAATTGTATTCATTAGTTCATATTGCAAGATTAAGTGTAGTGCAGGTATGTATGACTGGAAATATCATTGTTTCATTTTATGATTGGTAAGACAACTCCTAATAAGGGAGCCTATGGTTGGAAAGAATCATATATTTACTCAGAAGTTACTAAGAAATATTTCAGTTCTATTGTTTTAAGCTCTTACTAAGAATTCTGAAAGATATAATGGCACATTAAGGTACATAAAGCACTTTCCTAACAGTAACCACCAATGAGGCAAGTAGTGTGTTGCTATCCTCAGTGTACAAATGAGGAGACTGAGTTTCAGAAAGGTTAGGTGCATTTCCAAGAGTGACACAGCCAGAAAGAATTAGAAGTAGTGTTCAAACTCAGTGTCTCTCGACCCCAAGTCTAGTATTCTCTCCATTCTGCTGTTATGCCACATTGATACATGTTTAAATTCTTGGCCCACAATTAAAAATATAAGACACTACATTTATTCTTTATAAATTACAAAAAGAAAAAAAAATCACCCTATAAAATATTTAATGAACATTTAAGTGAGGGGAATGTTTATCTCCTATTCCATGTCACACACAGTCTTAACAGATATTTTAGTCATAGGTGATCTGTACCAGATATAATCCTAATAAAATTAGAACCTTTCCCTACCTATCAACTTAAGTCAGATGTAATCAGGTATCCAGAGAGAGGCATTGTGGCAAAGTAGATAGAGAGCCAGCCTCTGAGTCAGAAATCCCTGTGTTCAAGTTCTGTCTCAGAAACATACCAACTGTGTAAACAAAGGCAAGCCATTTTCATCACTTGGTGCCCCAGGAGACTGTAAAACTCTCTCTTCCAAGTATTTATTGATTTGTATTGATAGAGGAAGCATCTTCACTGGGAGAGCCTCCATCAATCAAATCATAGGTTTGGTCTAAAAAAAAAAAAGCTAAACATGATAGGAACATGTTCTGTTGTGAGTGGGGTGAGGAGGGAAGAAGTACTGATCTACCTAAATTTGGCTCCAAAGTGATTAGAGGTTATCATCATTTTTCTCTCCAGTTAATGTGAACCAAAGATCATACGTTATGTGATCAGAATGCCCTAGCCTCAATTCAGATTTGGAAAATTCTGATTTTCCCAAATGCCTTTTAAAGCTTATTGTATATGCTGTTTTCTCACATTTGGTCTTTTATTACAAAGTGGTCCTCTTTGGCACTATTGGACATTTGAGATGTGTGTGTGTGTGTGTGTGTGTGTGTGTGTGTGTGTGTGTGTGTGTGTTTTGCATAGGCAGTCAGGGTTAAGTGACTTGCCCAGGGTCGCACAGCTAGTAAGTGTCAAGTGTCTGAGGTCAGATCTGAACTCTGGTCCTCCTGACTCCAAGGCCAGAGCTCTATCCACTGTGCCCCATTTGCTATATTTTCAAAATTATCTTTTCTTTATTTACTAGGAGAATAAAAAATGTTTCTTTTTTCTTTATTGTAATAATTTCTAAATTATCTAAATGTGGATAAATATGGATAATCAGATCTCTGATTATATATGTAAATATATTTAAACTCTGTCATCTAATGTGAAAATCACCCAGTTTTAGCCTAATTATAATTTCCATTTTGGGCTTGATTAGTTGATTCGGTTAAGTAAAATAGAATCTTGTACAGAATTTAAGTGAACAGTATTTCTCTTGATTCAGTTATATTTTGTGTCTTTATATCTATCAAGTGATTTTTTTCTCTTCAGAAATTACACTTTTTTTTATTGGTTGTGTGGCTAAGCACCAATTTGCTGATCCATTTCAGAGACTTTTTCAGTGACTAAATCACTTTTATCTAACAACACAGTGAGGGGACTGATAAATCCTTAAAAGAAAAGTGTTATAGAGATGTTAAGTGGTACTTTTTCCTTTAAGGTATATTAGTATAGACCTACTTATTAGTGAATTCATGGTTATTCAGTTAAACAGCTCTGGCTGGAAAGCCATTAAAAATTCAGACTTTAGCAATTTCTTACTTTCTCCTACTCTGTTTTCAAGTACTTAATGACAGGAGAATAGGACTCATCTACCAGCATGATCCTCGGTTTTTAAGTAGGTATAATTGAAATTATTAAAGTTCGTTATGTTAGTAGTTTTTAACAATTAGTTTTTCTAATGCTGTTCTCACAGTGTATCTTTTGGTGCTTAATCACCAAAGTTTAAAGTTTTGTCATAGTGACAAAAGTAGAAATGACAAAAATAGAATACTATCTATTCCATTAATGTAACCCAAAAGGAGATTTCATTCAAATAGCCATATTCTGTTTCCCCTTACGGAAAAATTTTCTACTAGAGTCAGTGGCTAACTTAATAGGCTATCTGTTCTGGTTGCATGTTTGCAATGTATTCTGAATTCACAAACTGTTCTGAGCTTCAAGTTGAGAATTGTAGTGCTTTGAGACCTGAGAGATCATTTAGTCCAGTCCCTTACTTTCTAAATGATGAAAGTAAGTCCAAGAAAGGTTGAATGACTCTCCCAAGGTCATTAGATGGTAGTCATTCCAGTACTATATAAAGCTCATTTCCCCCCTGACTCCCAGCTTCATTTTTCCTGCTGCATTGCATTGCATCAAAGAAAGCCTCTCAAGCAGTGAATTGCCCCAATGATAGAGAAGACTTTTTGGTGCCACATTTGATGGGCTTCTCTTGCTTTCTAACTTGAATTTTAGCTTTTGACTCTGTTTTTTTTTAACGTGTCTAAACTTTTAGAAATCCTCTAAGCAGTCACGGAAATCTCCAGCAGATGAAGATGACAAGGACTGCAAAGAGGAAGAAAATAAGAGCGGCTCTGAGGCTGGAGATGCAGGCAATGACACAAGAAACACGTCTTCAGACTTGCAGAAAACCAGTGAAGGGGTAATTCTGTGCTTATACTATTCTCTTACTTTCCATTGCATTAGAAATCCTTTTGCTGGAGAATCAGGGCCCTTCTGTCAATGATATTCCTACCAGCAGCAAAATCTAAAGGAGTATTAGGCACAATAAATATTGCTAAATAGTGAAATGCACAACTGTTCTTAAATGTGGGCACAGATACCTCCCCAGAGTATTATCCTGAGTTCAGAGAGCCTGAGGACAGAAATTAGCTTGATGGGTAGTGTACCTGATGATTGGAACTTGGCACCATATTTACATATTATTTCTTAAAGGAAGGTGTTAAATGCTTCAAAGATACATTGAAATTGATAAGTACCACTTGAAATCTGACAGCAGTATTTCTCTTAATTAAATTAAATATCAGTATATTAAATTTTCAGTAGTATAACTAAAACAGCATTATGGCTGATTCTTCTCTCAGAATTTATCAGCTATACATGGGAACAGGCTTTTTTACATTATCTTTCTTGAATAGATATGAAACTTATGCTAATTTCTGAAGTCAGAAGACTTCCACCTTTGTAGGAATATTGCTGAGAAGGAAAATTTGTTCATAGGAATTTTCCAGCTGTCTGTTCTATTGTTCTGCCTTGAGACATTAGTTGGTAACCATTTTAAAACAGTAAGATTAATTGGCCATGAGATGGCACTATTTGTATACTACTGAAGTATAGGTCCGTGTAGTTACGGTGCTGCACGGTTTATTATTATCACAGTACTATTAAGTTCTAATTTCAGTTGCACTCTTTCTCAGACTTAATTTAGCAGAGCTGATATATTTCAGTGAGGCAGAAAAGCATTTCAGATTACTATATCTCATAATAAAATTAGAGACAAAGGCAGAACTTAGCAGTTTCAGTGCTCCTCTCTCAGAGACCAGCTTGAAATGCACACTTAAAAAGGAAACATTGGATGTTTTGAGTAGCCCTGAAAGTATTAGAGGGTTAGGTTTGGATTTTTTTTAAAAAAAAGGATTCTCAAATTTTCTCTCAGAAATAAAAATATAAAATACAGCAGAGCCTCAAATGATTAAATAGAGCATATTGCAGAATAGTACTTATAGTTTAGTAACTCCTGCATATTTGGGGGAAAATAAATGGCCCTTTTGATGATTTTGAACTTTGCACAAGGTTTTGAATTTTAGGGGCCTTGTTAAGGGCCTAAACTCTGAATTCTGCTTGAGCGTCAGTTTTTGTTGTGGTGGTTGTGGTTGTTGCTTTGTTTCTTGATTCTTCTCAGCAAGTTTGAACCTCCTTGAATCTCTAAGAACTTATGCAAATCAGGCTGCTGCTGATGACCCCTGAACTGTCTTTTGCCCACCTAATTTCTGCAGAACTCACATTCTTCAAGCTGCTTATATTGGCTAAAACCATAGTTTTATGTAAAACCGACACTGAGCTGTTTTGGAAGAGGATTTAGGCATTCAGTAATGTAAAAACCTTCTGTTCTATTCATTCTCTTGGTTAGAAACAGCTGAGTGGCGCAGTGCATAATGTTGGACTTGGAGTCAAGAAGACCTGAGTTCAAAACCTGCAACACCCACTTAACTTCTTTATATCTCTGTTTCCTCATCTGTAAAATGGGGATAGATAGCACCTACCTCCGAGGATTATTGTGAAGATCAAAGAAATGATACATGTACAACATTTTATAAACCTTAAAGCATTATGTAAATGCTAGTTATTATTATTAATAATAATTTCTTAGACTATGTTAGTCCCCTTCTTTCTATAAGCCAGCCAGGAAATTGGCGGTTCTTACTAAATATATTCTATTCAAGCTACTATGTGGTACTTCCTGACAGAAGATTGTGTAGTTTTTCTAAAGGAAGAAGTTTATCGTAACAGGATTTTGTGTTGTTATACCTAAAGTGTTGGTTCCAAATGGACAATAGGAGTAGTTTTTCCTTAGGTGTGAGGAGAGCCATCCCACTTCAGTGGGATGACTAGAACTAAGATTGGAGCTAGAAAGAGTCATGTGCTTCTAGGTAGACAGGCCATTACTCCTAGAGGAAAACAACTAATGGCCATTTACCAAGGAGCCAAACTTCCTTTGTTCCTAAGTGAAGTGCATACTTTTTTTTAAACAGGACTTCCATGGAAATATCTGTCCCATCCCTATAGGAGTATGGGCATGAATTTGGCAACAGTGTGTAGGATAGACTGGGGTGGGGAGAAGCTTGAGGCAGAGAAATCAGTTAATTTGAGGAGCATCTAAGTGAATATTAAGGTCCACTAGTAGAAGAACAGGAGCTGGGGAGGAGAGAAAGACGGTGAGCCAGAGATTCAAAGGAGGCAGAAACCTGGGAGTTGTTATAATATAGCTACCATAACATGGGTCAAGTGGAAAATTTTGATTGAGTAGACTTCAAGAGACGAACAAACACTGCAAAGACACAATATATTCCTGCCTTGAGAAAGTATCTGTACTGGTAATTATGATGCAATTACTACTTGTGTTGCAGATATGCAAAGTTGATAAGGGACGGGCAGTCCTTGATGCCCTCATATTTGGTTATACATATCCATAATAACTCATTAAAGAAGGAAAGTTCTGCATGTCACCATGTCTCAAGATTGAATAGATTTGTATTGCTATTTATCAGAAAGGGACAGATGATGTATGGAAATAAAAAATAAAGGTCATCGTAGGTCATTCAAGATATCCACATCTTAGAGTTTCCCTCATTGATTTAGTATAAGTGGGATGGAGACAAGTGTCCTAATGATTGTTTGTGCCCACTTCAGTGGGATGACTAGGACTAAGATTGGAGCTAGAAAGAGTCATGTGCTTCTAGGTAGACAGTCCATTACTCCTAGAGGAAAACAACTAATGGCCATTTACCAAGGAGCCAAACTTCCTTTGTTCCTAAGTGAAGTGCATACTTTTTTTTAAACAGGGCTTCCATGGAAATATCTGTCCCATACCTATATACAGCATCCCCATTTGGGGTTTTCTTCACAAAAATACTGGAATGATTTGTCATTGCCTTCTCCAACTCATTTTACAGATGAGGAAACTAAGGCAAACAGAATTAAATGACTTGCCCAGGTCACACAGCTAGTGAGTGTCTGAGGTCTTATATGAACTCAGGAAAATGAATCTTCCTGACTCCAGGCCCATCACTCTATCCGCTACACCATCTAGCTGTCTTGTATACAGTATCTACAAAACCTTATGTCTAGACCCTATCTTCATATTTGCTATGAAGGATAGAGAGGTACCTAAAGACCCTACCAGCACCACCATATTCGCTAAGGCCCAAATCATTCAGGAATCTCTCCGTTACATCACCTAGCTGCCTTGTATACAGTATCTACAAAACCTTATCTCTAGACCCTATCTTTATATTTGCTATGAAGAATAGAGAGGTGCCTAAAGACCTTACCAGCACCACCATATTCACTAAGGCCCAAATCATTCAGGAATTTTAAAATTTTCTCCAGGATGCAAATGGATACTTAGTGGTAGTTACAGAATATGGAATTTGAGCAATTTGATCAGTGCTCTTATATTCCGATATATTTTCCCTCAAAAAATTTAAATTGCAACACATTCATACATGCCCATATGGTAAATTCTTGACTGTGTTTTCCCATAAGTTCACTGTAGTATATCTACCCAGTGTGTTCTCCTTAAATTGCATAAAAACACAATTGTGTAAATACAATGTAATTGTGTAAATACAGTGAAGAGCATGGGTTGTTCATCTGTTGTCCCTGACTCCTGCTTTGTTACTGACCTATCTTTTTTTTCCCTGATCATACATTTCTTTGTTGGCATCTTCTACATTGCTTCTCCTGTATAATTACTTGTTCATTGTGCATTGAGGCTTCTTCATGGCTACCATACTCCTCTCCATTGCCCTTTGGGCCACCCTGTGCTTCATTTCTTCAGATATTATAAATGTTCCATGAGTTGTGGCTATGCAGTATCACCAGAAAGAAGAACATTGATGTTAAAAAAGATAGGCCTTTATTTCACTGAGCAGCTTGATATTATTAAAGTAATTTTATAATTTCCCAAAGGCAATAATCCTATATTTCCTCTGCCTGTTCCATTCTGGGTCCAACCCATTACGTACTTTCAGTCCCTGAACAAGATATAAATATACTGATAGAGAAGTTCTGTGTCTATTGTCCATACAGTTGCACACCATAGTCTGGATAAGAGGGGTTTTATTTTCTGATGTGAATAGTTAGAACAGGCTTTTCTGAGTGGTCCTGAATCTCATGTAGGATGTTTTACAATGTACATGGGCTTGATGAAAAACCCATGATGTCATCCACCCACAAACAGTGAAATGCTATGCCTTTAAGTAAATAAAAGTAATCCCTTTTGTATGTTCATATACCATCTTTGCTTAGAGAGGATGTTCTTCCACTCTATTCTAGAAAGTAGGAAGATGGGGATTTTATCTGTTAATACAGATGGCGTTTAAAAAGGTACTTCTTACCCTAAATCTAGGTAACTGTATGTTCAGAAATCCTCTCTTAATCTCCAACAATATGAATTTAGTAACAGAAGTCCAGTATATAATCTTTTTTTTTAAATTTCATTTTATTTTTTGTTAATTTTTAACATTCATTTTTTAAATTTTGAGTTCCAAAATCTTTCCTTCCCCTCCGTGCCTCTCCTCCCCACTGAGAAGGCAAACAATATTATACCCATTATACATGTGAAATTGTGTAAAACAGTTCCATATTAACCATGTTGCAAAAAAAGCAAAAAATGAAAAAAGTGAAAAATATGTTTCAATCTGCACTCATAGTTCATCAGTCCTCTCCTTGGAGGTAGATAGCATTTTTCATCATGAGTCATTTGGAATTCTCATGGATTATTCTATTGATCAGAGTAGCTAAGTCTTTCACAGTTGATCATCATTGCAATTTTGCTGTTACTGTTTACAACAATCTCCTGATTCTGCTCATCAGTCCATGTAAGTCTTCCCAGCTTTTTCTGAAACCATCTGGCTCATC